TATTTTTAACGGGTGCTCACAAAACACCGGGACTGCATCGTGCGCCTTTGGCGCTTTGGTACCTTGCGAGCTTTGGTTCATCGCGTTTTTAAAAATGGAAATTTTGATATTCCCGCGTAAAAGAAGACCGATAAAACGCGTCTATCATTGACTACAGTGAAACGCCCGGAAACGAAGGATGTTTTGAAAGAAACGGGAAAACTGATAAAAGTAAATATTTGTTTTGATAAGTGAAATTAATGAGAAATAACCAGAAACTAGTTTTGTTTTTTTGTTTTTTAAAAGCGGTTTGTCTGGTACCAGATTTGTACAATTACTTTCAATCAAACAGGGATCGGGTTTTGTTAATTAGGACAGAATGTAATTAAAAAGCATTATGTTGACAGCTACAAGGCAAATGCTTGCCTTAAGCTGCGAGTATCCCGCCATGTTTTAAACAAAGGGCCTCTGACCAAGCCGGCATTCTAATCCGCCACAAATATGTGAAGCACGCGTCTTTCAAAGTCGCCTACTACTTAAAATTGGGACTCTGGCCTGTTATAAGTTTCCAAAACAATGGATAGCGGTTTTCGCGTGCTCTGATTGCCTACTCAAACTAGGGAAATACAGGGTTTCACCTCAAACCGACGCCAAACTCGGCGTAAGAGCAAAATGGCTCTCCGCTTCGGTTTCCTACAGGAACAAATGAAGAAATTCCACAAAGAAACAAAAAAACTGTTTACGACAACACGAACGGTTTCAAATACAGGAAGAATCCGAAACTCCTTTGGAGGAAATGTTCCCACAAGAGGTAGAAAATGTCTTCAAAAGTTTCCTTGTCGGGCTGGCAGTTCGGTCATTTGCATTGTGCGCCAAAATTGGCAGCAATAAATGAGTCAAAAATCATCATTTTTGAGCTCAATTACCTCACTGTTTTACCTCGGTCGAGGTGTCTCGTGGCGAATATTACTGGCCACCTCGACTTTGATGAATAATTGTTCTCTATTTTACCTTTCTTTCATTCATTTCGCGTTGAAACCAGTGTTTGCATCGCGAAATGTCCGCTGTTTATTGAGGCTAGTAAAAAATGATTTTTTAAGAATCTTGCGTTGTCCTCAACACAATGCACAAAAGTTTTTTGCTTAAAATTAAGGGTAATTACACAATTTTTTTTTGTTTTGTGTTGAAAAAAAAAAAAATCATCAAACCCAAATCGGTATGGCAAAAACTTACACAGTTGATATTTGCTTGATACATGTTTAGCTCCCAAGAAGCCAGGTAAAGATGGTGAGGTTGGCGTTCAATACATCAATATGGGGAAAATCTCGGACCGCAAGCGGAATGAACTTGACTCAAAGACTAAGAAAAGCTATCCACTGGCAGTAATTAACATCATCAGAAGAGAAGCTGAGGATCTGTTACTAAGCAACAGCAATGATAAAAAAGGGAGAGACTCGTTGATGTTTATACTCAGCTTGACTAATGAAAGAAGTGATTTGAAGACGCTGAAGAAAGGTAAGACATCATACGTTCCCTTCATAACTTTAACGTAATTTAGAACTAAAACCAAAGTAAAACCATCTCTAATTCAAAAACCAAAATTATTATCGTAGTATTTAATTATTTTTTGAATGAAAGATGGCTTCAGACTTAAGAAATATATATTTCTTAAAAGTGATTATCGTACTAAGATGGTTTTGAAATGGCATCCGGTTTTTATTCCAGATGTTCAACAAAAGCTTGTTTTTCTGGGTCAAGAGGGCTACGACATTTTTGGCAAGAATGATATGTTTGCACCTCGCGTCAAATGGCAATCTCTTGAAAAATCCGTCGAGGAAATTAAGACGGCAGCAGAAAGCTATGAAAACGCTTTCAACGATATTATTTCTACTATAGAGAAAGAGCAAAACTTCAAAAAGGTAAGTGATTTTGACATTCGGAACGCGCGGTATTTCTGAATCACATTCGCTTGTCAGAACCTGTATAGGGTCCCGGTTTAACCAGATTTAACTTTTTCCTGGTTATGACATTTTTGATCAAACTAATAGCGTTAACTGACATTGTTTGTTATTATTTAAACATCTTGTTGGACAATGTGGACTTTTTGATGATCTTTAATCATCTTTAAATAAGTCAAAACTATTATGGTATATTCTATTACGTTACGAAGGCCAAGGACACTGTTTGTTATAATAATTACTATTGATTGTCTTTTAGGTATCGTTTTTTGTTTTTGCTCAGTTTGTTTGTTTGTTTTTTCCTGTAGATTGCCTCAAGAATGTCTTCTGTAGTAGGCTTACACGTTAATGCAGAGAAAAAGCGACTCGAAGAGGCCAAACTTATTGCAGAAAGTGAAAAGACCACTTATGTAAAGGTGAATTCATTTGGAATGTTGCCGTGGAACGTTCAGTTTGACTTAATATGAATTATTTCTTTCTTATCATCGCTTCTTTTCTTTTCTTTTTTATTCATTTATTTATTTCTTTTCGTTGTTTTTGTTTTTGTTTTGTCTTTTGCCAGTCTATTGAGTACCTCGAAGAACAGATGTCGAGTATAATTCAAGAGGTTACTTCTGAGCTTCCGGGCGTTTATAAGAAGGCCAAGTTCAACTCCCAAAATCTAATTGGAATGCTTCAGGGACTTGTAGGATTCGCTGCAGCCGGAGCTGCTAAGGACCCATTCGCTTTCATTGACCAGACACTGGCTCTTGCAGAAGAATCATCTCAACGTTGTCACCTAAAATCTCTTGACTCATACTTGGGTAGCATTAAGCAATGGTTGACATTTGGAAAACATTACAAGCCTTTGGTTGATTCCAGTGAATTAGACTTTGATCAAATGAACGTCAGTTCAGTTCCTCAGATCATGCAGGTATATATGAGTCGCTGCAACGTTTTAAGACAGTATACGGGTTTCAATAATTGCGGACCCTTAATGGAGACCAACAGCTATATAGAGCACTATGGATCGGAACCGAATCCTGGGGCCTTTTTCTCAAAATTCCGGTAGCTTTTCGGGCCCGGAAAGCTATGCCGTATATGTGGAGCGATTTCTACGGTCACGATTGCCTTCAAACTTGCAGACATAAAACTAGAGAGCTCTGAGGCTTATTTGCTGAAGTTGGGGAAAAATCTATCGTGGGATTTCGAAGTTATTTTCATTTTTCGTAAAAATGAGGTTTTAAATATATGCCGATATCTCAAAAGTTTTTATACCTATAAGAAAATAAATAACATTTTCTTAAAGTTCCATAATTATTTATTAAGGGTGCAAAAAATCGTAGAAATCGGTTGAATCTTTCATACTGAAAAACGCGAATGAAAAACATAACCAACGTCCATATAAATAGGAACGGGCCACCTTAAAGACTTGAAAGGTAACCGTGGCGCTTGTTTTTTTTAATCTTTCGTTTCTTAGAGAAGACACTCGGCAATCTTCTGATATCAACGACCGCCGGACTGGTTTGATCAAGCCTGTTATTTTGCCTTTTTATTTATTTATTTATTATTTGGTACTTTTCAAACTAAAGGATGAAGACGCTGACTATGAGAGCAATAATAAGAAGATTAATATGTGCAACCCCCCTTTTTTTTTCTAATTTCAGGCCAATCTGGAAATAAACAAGGAAAAGTTTGCTTCTGAACTTGTCTGTTTGCTGGATGACGACTCTTTACCGCAGGACGTGGCAGTTTTTAAACAGTTGTTGGAATCGTTTTTCATCGCAGGTGCAGCTCGTATTGACCTGATAGCAGAAATAATGAATCTTGACAACGACATTGGGGGATATAACTTTGATATTCCCCTTCTTGACCAGACTGAGCAAGCAATTAAAGAGGCAACTACAACAAAAGGTAACAGTGTTTTTTCATTAACTATCTTTAACTTTTAAAGATTAAGTTAAGCATCTTCTAGCGTCTCCTGCTGATTACCAGTTTTAGAAGCAGGTTAATCTGAAAAATTGTTTTGAAATCGAATGTCCTAGGAAACCAAATTATTTACTTATTTATTTATTTATTTGTTTATTTGCTATGTGGTAATTGATTTTAGGCTAGTATTGTTCTTTCCATCGAAATTTTTGTTAACCTTTAACCTCTCATCTAAGAGCCGAAGGACTGTTTGAAAATTCAGCTGCTAAGCCCGAGAACATGAAAGAACCTCCGTATAATAGGAAATCTGTTTCGTCACATGTAATAAGTTCCCCACTTCAGGAAATCTAAGAGAATGCACGTAGGGACATGAGGCTTTGGGTACAGAGATTTCTAGGATTGTTTGGGTGGCCAAGGGTTAGTTATGATTGGTCGGCGATGGTGTTCGTTACAACCATTAACCAGCTAGTCATAAGAAACACTTGTCCACTCAAACAATCCCAGGAATCGTTGCGCCGGAAGCTTGTACACATTCATCCCCTTGTAGTTTCTGGAGAGGGAAATTCGTTTGGAGCTACTCAACAAGCAAAGGAGAAGATAAAAACGGGAAATAAAAGTACAAAGAACGTGAATTTTTAAATGACTTTTTCAAGGTGCCCCAATAACAAAGGAACTCCAGCAGATGTTTATGGATAACCTTCTAAGCTCATATAGGGAACTGGAAAGATCTTTCATGAAAAAGGTCTACGAACTTTACAAGGCTTTCAAGTTCCGTACATTATGGGAAGGAAACAATCCCTTGGCCTCGTTCCGAAGAGTAGCGAGTGAAAGTGCAAAGGGCACGGGACGACTAAACGGCGTTGTACAACTCACTGGAGTGCTTCGAAAGTTCCAGAAACTTAAGGATAAAGCTAACAAGTGTTTTACATTTAACAAATACACCACTGACATTCACAGATGGAGTTTCAATAGTGTAAAAGACAAAAAGGTAAGTCTATTTGTTCATAGTTAAAGAATTCTGGCTTGGAAATATTGTTTAGGTAATATGTTTGTGTGTGATATTAACGCGACTAAGAAACTTTGAGTCCAATTTTATGAGTCTTTGTTAAAATAACCCCAAACGTAGTCAAGAGGGCAATGATGAAGCGAATTCTCCTTCTTCCAAGTTGTTATTCTAAGTTTTAAGTCTCTCCGTAAGTTCACAGTTGGTGTTTTATCTGAGTCTGGAACTAATAATTATGTCACCCAATTGTTTCTCTTATCATTTTAATTAAAAAGATCAATCTGATTTTCGGGGTGATTTCACTGTAAATAGTTATATTTCCTTTTTGTCGTTATTGTTTTTGTTGTTAATTAGGCTGATTTAGCAACAGAACGGGAACGTCAGTCGATGACGGCGCGCCCAAATCAAACAACTGGCTTGACCAATGGCAGGGGTGCAAATTGGGCAACGGAAGTCGTGTTCAGTCCTTTCTGCGCGCTTTTCCGTCGTCAACTGACGTTCCTGCCCTGTTGCTAAATCAGCCTATTACATGGCGTAGGAAACGTTTACCCTTTTCTTGTCTTAAAAGCCATTGGGTTACTGAATTTTGTTGAATTTAATTAAGGGTAACCCGCATGAAAACTGAATAACCAAAAAAGAAAAGTATTTCTGATTTGATTATTCAACACTTATGATATAAAGAGGATGTTAATAAGGGAGTTTTTGACCTGTTATATTTGTTGTTGACATTGCGTTTTACCTGTTTCAGATGTTTGAAGATCTTGCCTCTAAAGGCTACACAAGATTTACCATTAACATTGACCAGAGCTGTGAAAAATGCTATAACATGCGTCTACTCAAGGTGAGATCCTGAGAAAGTTGTGAAGGTCTTTTATTTTCGGACACCTACAACAAGATGAGGACATTTTTAAGCTGAGGCAATTTCGCCTTTGCCCACCTTTTTTCGCTTTATCATACAAAAAAAAACTTTTTTCGACTCGACCGTGCACAACGTTAAATAGCATTTCTATCATTTTGAACTTACTGACCAATAGAAACATCGCATTAATTTATTCAATCACTATTTGTGAACAGAAAACAAAGGTTTGTGGATGGTCAGGAAGCTTCCAACATAAACTGCAGCACCATTTGTTTCATGTTTGATGTTTGCCGAGTAACCAGTCTCATCTAGTACTAACTATGGTCTGGTGTGGGCCATAAAATTGTGATGATCTCGTTACTTGATTACAACACCTTATTATGTAAAATGCAACTGCCATCAGTGGTGCTTGAACCTTCTGTACGCCAGTATCCACTTGCGTACCCGAAACTGATATAATTTTAATTCTCAATTGATGTCAAACACTCTAATCGCAGTGGAATTCCAAATATAACAGAAAGCTAACAAAAACATATAACAAAGGTAGCCTGCATACTAGGAGCTTTTTGAGCCAAGCGAGGCAAACGCGGCATTTTGGGCGAAGCGCGAAACGAGCGCGAAGTGCGAGACGAGGGGAGAACAAAAATAAATAAATAAAGTGTCTTTATTGTTCAAAAGATAAAATTACATATCTTATGTTACATTTAAATATGGCAATGTTAATGGGCTAAAGTATGTCTTTAAATAAGATTAGTATACATAGAAACAGATACAAAAATCGAACACAGAAAGTACACTATCTCTAATTTTTTGGATATGTATCTGCGTTTAAAACATCGATCTAAACTACTGCTGGGCTATAGTTAGCTCTGATTCAGAGGCTCCATAAACAGATAAAGTATAAGTAATATTAGGTAGAACTATGGAAGAGAATAAATGGTCTACTTCTGCTTGGCTACATCCTTCTTTTCGGAGGCATCTGATGACATACAAGCATTTATTAATTAGCTTTACATAACTTTAAATAAAGCTTTATTTTCTTCTCCTCCCCTCGTCTCACGATTCACGCTCGTCTCGCGCTTCGCGCAAAACGCCGGGTTCGCCTCGCTTGGCTCATAAAGCGCCTTTTATGCAGGCCATAACAAAGGAAACTAACGGGTTTCATAACCATTCCACTTTATTAACTATGACTAGACGATGGCTTCGTCCACACAAATCCGGAATTTTGTCTGGAAACCGCAAATGATTCACTTTACCCGTGTTCGTATGGACAGGGCCTTAAACCCGTCTAGAAAGCAGTTTGAAAATGTGCGCCTTCGATGAGCGAATTAAATGGTTTCGTGTGGACTGAGATTCGATTCGTTTAACATATTATGTGATTTCAAACATAGCCGGATTCGTGTGGACGTGGCCTATGTGTAAGAAACCTAGGGTCAGTTATTTAAACGGACTTTAGCCTGAGTGTTTAACACCACTTGTCTTAAAAAGTTTCATGAAAGCTTAAGGTGTAGGCTGAAAAAGTAATTATTTTCTCGAAATAACCTACTAAGGAAGGTATCTGGAGGTCCAACGGATTTGCTAAACCTCGGCCTAAGTTAGACTTCGTTAAATAATCGACCCATAGTATTTAAGTATGTCACTATCACCTTGTTCTAATAGCGTCTTATCAATTTATACACCGTTTAGATATACACTGAGTTACTCGGTAAGGAGGATCAACCAGACACTGTTCCACAGAAGATTTATCTTAAATTGCGCCATCTAAGTGGCTCATTCTTTCGCGTGCCCGTCGAAAAATCGGACGAAAACCCCATCAAGCAATACTATCAGCCCGTAGCTTCATACAGGACTATCAAGTTTAACCGGTTTACACTGAGTAATGTAGAGGAATGTAAGAAAAGGAAAGGCAAAAACACAGGTGAACAAAAAAAGTATTAGTGCCAGAATAAATCTTTAGCAATTTTAATTGTAGGAATGCTGTGATATTCATTTCCATATTTCTTTCTCTTTTTTTATTTTTTCTATTTATTTTATTTTTTCTATTTATTTTTTCAAATTTAGCTATCATCGGTTGTTACCAACTAATCTAACGGTCATTCCAATCAAAATTGCTTGATACTATGGCAACTTCACCCGCGTTTAATGTGCATTAGAGCAGTACTAACAGTCCCGTTTATAAGTAGAAAGTGTTTTCTATGCCCTGAATCTTATGCCAATTTTTTTCAAATCAAAATGTGATATTCCTTGGTTCTCTTGGTTCTAAGACTGAATTTAGAAACGTTTACGCTTGGGAGAGGTGAGTGGAAATTTTAATCAATGTTGCGTTCGTGGGGTCTGGAAAATTAAATGAAGGTTACTTAACTGACTTAAGGGGGTAACCTCACTTTTGAATGAGGAGGCATCGTGTTTGAGTGGTTGGCGCGTTAGACTCACAATCTGGCCGTCTCGGCTCTCAGGCCACTTGCTGGATTTGTTCTCGGCTGCTCCGCGTTCAAATCCTTGGCCACGCTGCTAATATATAATATATATAAACAGTCAACCGAATTACCTCCTGCCATTTGGGTTTTGAGTCCTGTTATGTCATATTTGAATTATTTGTTTCTAGTTATTTGAGTGAAGTGCTTGTAAACTAGCTGTGGAGGCTAAGTGCACTTTCCACTATAAACATACCTTTAACCATTTAAACTTTTTAGTCTTTATACACTGACCAGTTCTACTTCTATGCGGTTTAATTAGCAAACCAAAACCAATCAACACCACATGTATAAGTGCTGGTCAAATGAATTTTTCCTTTCAGAATCATACTGTGTTTCCGAGGACGACTCTCGTTGGGTAGCAATGTGTAATCACGCCTTAAATAAGCGCGGAAGTCACAGTAAAGACGCTTTGCTGGGGATGGAGGAATGCCAAAGCCCATTTGGTATTTACGAGCTGAAGATACCTATCGACAACAAGCTAGCATGTGATACCAACAGAATTACAACCACGAACTGCAAAGATCTTGATGTGGGTAGTTGCTTTAGTCATACTAAGGACATTAGAAAATTGCCTACTTTCGCGCTTTGTGTTTTATAACTTCGAAATATATGTACATTATCTCAGGAAAGAGTTCAAATTCACACAGATTAAGCCGTAGGGTGCTTGCGACCGCCTCTCTCTCTCTCAGGTGGCAAACTAAGGTATTGGAGTTCAAAGGTGCACGTAATAGACAGGAAGCTAAGGATTTAGGAAAAAGAAAACGTAATCAAATCCATAGCCCTCTATTGGACAATAGATGATACCGTAGCCTGTGAACAGGCTCTCTGTTTGGGGAAAAATAGCGAGGAAAGGGAAGGGAAAGGGGGGGAGAGAGCCTGTAGACAAACATTTGAGGCCGCTATTCCGCCCTCTTGTAATTATCCTGCCGATCATCTGTCAGTAAGATCGTTATCGGTCAATCAATTTCGCGCGTGAGTAACTCCTGGGAAAATTAACAGGAAATGAGTGGTGTTTTGCTCCGTCTGAAAACAGAGTGAAATGGAGCATGAACCTCATTGTTGATTTTGCAAAAAGTCGTTGATCTCCGGTAAGAGGATTTAAAACAAGCCGTTCGTCTTGCTAGTTCGGTTTGTTATTTAACAAGCCGCTGCAATGAGCGAACTTGGAATGCGGAAGGTACAGATACTATCATGACTTCTCCAGAACGTGACGCTTCGAAGATAAGTACAAAGAGATCAGCAGCCGGCTTCGATCGCCGACAGGAATTACATGGTAGGCCGACACGACTTTTACTTTATTCCAAAATGCTGCTTGTTCCCATAAGTTTTTTCCTCTGCGGGGTAGATTATTCTCTGGAAGGTTCTACATTTTCACTGAGCAATAGCCTGTGAACAGGCCTTTGGTCGATCAGGGAATTAGGGAGAGGGAAACTGAGCAAATGTGATTTTAGCCGCTTGTTTCACACTGAGAGGTCATGGCACACATATCGATTTACTGTGGTTTTTGTTTCTGGTCGACAGGATTTGCCCTCTGATGCAAGAGCATTTTCTTTTTTTGCGGCTGAATAAGGGTCTTACTTTTCTCCAAAGTGCCTTCTCGATCTGAATAACTTAGCGATTTTCTTTAGTCCGTGAATGTAATGATTTTCTGCAATGTTGTATTCTGACGCTGGGCCCAGCTCGTCAGTGTTTAAAAATTATCACGGATGGTTATTTACAGATCCAAAATTATAAGATTGAAATGCAGCTTAAACCGAAGCTACATCAGCTATGGAGAATTGCATTGTGCTTCGGTAACTATAAACTCTAGCTTAGTGTTTTTGTAAAGACAGTTTGAGTCTTTTGACCGGAGGGCGTAGTTCCTGCCCGTGGTAATAGTCGTTTGGACTGTTTTGTTATTGCCACTCTGTGATCAAATCGCGTGCTACGTGCCAACCGAAAAGCCGATGTCAATCAGATCTGTCAACAGTCAGTGTTCTCGCCAATAGGAGCTTGCATCAGGATCTGATGCACAGCGGGTGCCGTGGAACGGCGGCCACAAAGGTCTGTCCACAGGCCTTTTCGCTTTTCCCTCTCCCCACCCCGCTCGACTAAAGGCCTGTTCACAGGCTAATGATACCGGCATCTAGGTTTCTAGGAAGCGACAACAATTGCGTCCAAAATAAATTCCACACTTCTAGTTCCTAGGTTTCTAAGCCCCTCCCCCTCCCTCCCTTACTAAAAAGCTGAATATCTTTAAATTTGTTCAAGATATGACAGCTGAACTTACATGTACTTTGAGTGTATGTTAACATTGAAGTTACCATAGCAACAGAGTTTTGACAGTCATGGTTTTCAAAACATGCTACTCCCCGGTCACTTATCTATTTTTTACTTCAAGACTACTTTGATAGAAAACGCTTTTCCTTCTTTGTTTTTATAGCTGACCAGGTTCACCCAAATGAACGTGTGGACCCATTACGTATTCTGGGATGGAGAATATCCCAAGGGCCCGGATGATATCGTGTGTCGTAAGAGCCAGCAAAAGAAGCGGAACGAGACTGCCACTGCTTATCAGGAATCGAATTTCATCCTGGATACTGGAGAATATTTTTGATGGTCTTGTGTTAAATTTAACATACAAAACTAATCAAGTTGAACTGAATGTAAACGGTTTTGGTAGCCAGTACAAGTATACAATATTAATACAGGCGGCTAAGGCAACAAGAAGTAGTGTGCGAGACTATTTGGTTGTTTAATAAAATGAAATTAAAATTATTGAGCTCTTACAGTTATCCCGCGTCAGGAAACGTGATTATAGTGAAGGGCGTATGGTAAAAATGCATCTAGAATGCTATGTCACTTAGACAGACTGATCTACCGTCATTTTTCCTTTTTTTCTGTTTGCTGTTTCACTTTTTGCTTTTATCGTTAGTTCATGGCTTTTTTAGTTTAGTACCAATCAAAGGCATTTGTTTGAGACCTACAAGCAACAAGCTGGCTCTGTTTCATTTACATGAAATAATCTAAAACACAAACATCTGAAATTTTAGAACGTTTCTTATTTCACAGCAAGTTCACAACACAAATCTTAAACACATAAAGAGCATGTGATAATAGCAATGTGTGGACTTAACGCCATATAGAGATGGTCTTGAAGTTTAACTGAAGACAATGCAATTGTTTAGAAGAACGCAACAGAAATGAACACTGATAGTGAAGAAGCCTCACATCTCTTAGTTTTTAAGAAGTTTAATTGAGATCATCCTGGGCCGATGGAGCTAGTCATTGAGACACAGCCAAGCAACATCATACAGAATCGAGCTGCTCTTTATAGATTTTAAGATCAAGCTTTGTGATTCGGCGTCGCAAAGATTCATCGTGAGAATTCACTTCAAATTTATTTAAGTCTCATGGTGTCGATAAAATCGACCATAACCCCAGTTGTTCCCCCTCCAATTGGTTCTTTACATGGTACAGGGCTCTCGAGATATGAAACTGAACTGTTATAAGGTGGTGTACTTTTATCACACAATCACAAAATGCAATCAGACGTCGGCTTTCTTAGGACGAGAAAACCGCCTGGGCCAAGAGGCTGCCTTATATAGAAGCCACTGAAATTTTTATATCCCTTAGGAAACTTTGAAGGGTGTTCAAGACACTATGCCTCGGTGCTAGAGAGATTTGTTGTCCTAAAGTTTGACCACAGAAACTGGAGTCAAAGAGTCAATGATGCCAAAAACGTTCCACCTATTTGCACAAAAGGGAAGAAACCTTGAGAACGTCTCCACTATTTCAGCGCATCAAGAAAGCTGCCTAGCAAAGATGTCTTAACGTGACCAAAGCGTAATGCAACAATGGGCAACGGGGCATGGAAAAGCGATGCAGTGCACCACAAAGGATTCTGCGGGAACACTTCCTGTGCCAAAGAATTACCCGTTGGAGAGAGAGTTGAGTTGGAATACAATGACACGAACAGAACTCAGAAGAAGACCGAGGAGCTTCTTCTGATCTTGACAGCAATGCCATGAATTTTCTGTTGAGATCAATTCGCACTCGCTCTGGAAGAGCATAGAGCGGTAGCTTCGTACCAATAGATACGACTTATTCCTTGTATTTGTCAATGAGACCATGGTTTCGAGTGCTCGTTAACACACGTAGCCTATTCAAATCGAATTTGCCCGTCCCTTTGATGTGGTTTCGGTTCTTTACCCCTTCGAGTAACGGGTGAACTTGATGACTAAGTACGTGAATCGTGAAAATTGGTTTATAACGCAAGTGATACGTGAAATCTGTCAAAATTTACATGTGAGAGTTAGCCTAGACCTAGGGTAAATATATTCACAAATTCCGGTCAGAAGAAGACCTTCGGTTCAGCTGTGTCCACTGATTTAAACTCAAATTCAGGTATCTTCTCACCGGTATTTGCATTCATCTTTATTCCGAAACTGGACTATTGGAGCGTACACAGAACATGTTTAGAGAGCATGATATGGTTGCTAGTCATGGCTATTAGCTAATCAAAATTCTAGAATTGCATTATCCAATGATTCCGTTTTCAATAACTACCAGAGTCACCAAATACTGGAATCGATGGGCCAAACCAGAATCTCCAATATACCACATGTTGAACTATTTTTTCCATTAGTAGTAAGTATTCCTGGCATGGCTGGTGTTACAATTATTTTTCTATCACTACCGCCACTTGTCAGGATCTTATGACCATGAAGGAATGTAGAACTTTATATTTTCTGGTCAGCACAAAGCCCGTGTTCATTTGAGCTCTATCAAGCTTTCCAGGTAACATATTTCGTATTCCTTTTTGCAAATTAATTTAAAAAATGGAAGATTTTTCTTATTTAATAGTTATGGTGAAAACAGTTTTTGAAACAGAAAGTTAGGGATATGATTGGTAAACGATTAAGATAACATCCATTAAGAAATTGATTAATTTGAATTTTCGGTGGACAAAAACCGTGTACCAGAATAATATCAAGCATATTGCCTTCTGTTTCACACTCTTCAAGGGCTATAAATATCTGTAATACGTTGTATGAAATAACTCCGAAAAAAGGTTCTTATTGGAGCCCGAGAAAATAAACTTCAAAAACCTAAAAATTCACAAAATGAAATCTTATGCGCGACAATTTTACCTGTGTTTTCTCAATTCCTGTGAAGTTTGAAATTTATTTTCTCGGGCTCCCGCAATAAATTGTCTTTGGTGTTATTACAGATAGCTAATATCATCAACAGCCCTTGAAAATGTAAAAAAGAATGAGGTATGGCTTAAAATATTCTGGTACAAAGATTTTGTCCACTGAGAATTAAAATTACTCAGTTTCTTAATGGATTCCGTCTTAAATCGTTGATACGTAATCGCTAAATTAAACAGCTTTGAGAATCGTCGAGACCCGTTCATATTTTTCGGATGTCGACACTAGCACGGAAAACTCTTTACGTTTGTCGATTAGTGACTCTGAGCTGTAATTTACTTATCTCACTTTACTCTGTACTACTACTTCTACTACTTGACCGTTTTCAGACAAGGTTTTGGGAAAAACCTGTTCTTATGCAAGGGTTAGACAGAGTTAGAATCTGGCCTAAGGACATTCTGGTGTTCTTGCCACAAACGGGGTTCTATTTATGGTGGGTATTGATTAATTGAGTATAAAAAGAAAAGAAAAATCGAGAAAAAAAAGATGAAATACACATGAAATGAAATCATGAAATCATTTTCATCTTTTTTTTTTTCCCGTCTTATGGACAAAATGATCATAAAATTAATGGGTTATAAGAAATTCACTATTTGATTACGAGATGCTTTTTTTCTTCCAAACTCTTTTAGCTTCACATATAGATATTTTTCCCCCTTTTATCTTATTTTAGTTGTTGGCAGGATGGCTTTGAAAATCGCGACTGGTTTTCTAGTGTTTTTGCTGTCTTTGACATTTGTTTCAAGCAAAACAGAAGATCAAAACGCCAAGCTGCATGATAGAAAAGGTTTGATTGAGGTCTTTCATTGAATCAGTAGTGAATCCTACTTTTTGGTGCTTTGAAAGCTTGTACGCAGAGTACTAGGTGAACGTCAGTGTAATACACTTTGTCTTTGGCTTTGTTTTCTCCAATACGTCTGCAATCAAGAGCTACCTCAAAGTGATTAATCTTCCGACTACAAAACGACCCGAGTATATCAATAGCATTTCCTCAAAGTTTTTGTTCAATGAAAGGGGATCATGGCTGGGAGAAATGTCCCTTGTGAAACGTTGATTGGTCGTTACAAGGTGTTTAGTGTAAAAGTCGTGCTCTACGATTAGAACAATGGTAATCTTAAAGATAGCAGCCATGGCTGTGAGACCAGGAGGGCCAGGTTGCTTAACATGGTTTAAATTGGAGGATCGGATGTAGATTTTTTTTACAATAATTCGAGGAGAATTTCTCTTGGTCAATAGCTAAACACGCTATCGCCATTAGAATAACTGATGTGGATAAAATAATATTGTCTAAAACGGGTTAAAAAACGATAACGTTTGTCTTCTATACTGTAACAAAAATTATAGCATAAATTTACTTGAAGATGAAACTCTAGGTGTGCGCGGGGGGATACTGGGTTGTTCCTGAAGTGTGACTAAAAGCGTGACCAAGCAAAAAGCAAAGCTTTAAAAATTACTTTCCGAAAATATTGTCATAAATCGAACGCTACGTACTACGTATGCTGACGTCTTAATCAATACTACTACTACTACTACTACTACTACTACTACTGCTGCTGCTGCTGCTGCTGCTACTACTACTACTACTACTACTGTAAATGTATTTTTTTAAAACGTTACGGATCAAGAAACCTCCTCTCTTAATTGCACACTTTATTGTTATGGAAGATTACCATAAACATTTTTATTGCTATTTGATCTATTTTTAGGATCTCACAAATGCCATACAGTATCTTTTCCTGTGAAAGGAAATCCAATAGGTAGTGCTGATCGAGACCGACTTCAGAAAATCCGAACACCTGAACTGAGTTGGATTCAAGTTCCTTCAATCGTCAAAGTTGGACCAGGTAAGAAAAAGACACAATATATGAATGTATTGTAGTACAAGGTCCTCGAACTGTCCACAATCTTGGAAAAAACTGTTAGGAAAAATGGACGTTCAGTTATGTACTTTCAAGAGACAAAATAAAGCTCGTAAAAGCACGAACATTTACAAACACTAACCCTCCCCCACCCCCCGAAAAAAAAAAGAAGAAGAAGAGACTGAGCCATCAATGTATTATGGAAGGATCATTTCTGAGTCAAACTAAACAACATTTGACCAGAGTTGGGGGGGGGGGGCCGTAGTAGTGACAAATGCACAAGATAGGGCGATTTGTGGGTTCGAAAGTGGAACATTCTTCACACTTATTGTGCAATATTATAGCTTGGTCCTGAAACCTGCCAAGCTTTGCTCCTCGTTTGCTTTTTACGCTGTTCAGACAGGTAATTGCGGATTTTCTGAGACCATCCGTCCTTAACACTCTGTTTTAGTAACTTCAAACCGATCAAGGTATGGGTACTGTACAGTACCGCAAATGATCCCCAACCGCAAATGATCCCGAGACCGCAAATGATCCCCAAAATG